ATGAGGGGTACTATGAATGGTTCATGGTGAACACTGTCAGACTGATATCCAATCCCGGTAATTATGAACCTCAAGGATACGAGACTTCTTCGAGCCGCGTGAAATTATATGTGAGTTAATTCTAGATTTCTTTTATTATTTCTTATGTTTTCATTTTTTTCATTTTTATTTTTTAGAACTTTACTCTCTTAATTAACGTCCCAATTTCTTTTCAGGGTGAAGTATTAAACAACATTCGCGTGAGTACCGAGAGGTTTAGAGAAAAACGAGAAGATGATAATCTCCTAGACGAAGAACTTGACAAGCATTTGGACGATATCATCAATCAAACACATGCTGCTTTAACCTTGGGCGCAAATGATGAGATGGAGGTGGATGATATCCAAATCCTGGTTGATGAAGATCCATTTTTGCCTTCACAACCTCCGCCGGGTAAAAAAGCGAAACCGTGGTCAAGAGATAAGATTGGAGGAGGAAGAAAGAGAAAGGTCACAATCCCCCCTTGGACATCGCAACAACAAACTGAGGGTCAACAAAATGAGGATCAAGCACATTCCTCTCGAGGCTCGCGCATCCAGGTCGAGACTCATTTTGAAGAAGCTGGTGGACCCGAGACTCAGTTTGACCTTGGTGGACCCGAGACTCAGTTTGACCTTGGTGGACCTGAGACTCAGTTTGGTGGACAGTCGTAACCACAACCGGGAGTCAAATTTATCACCATGGGGGAGTCCCAATCTCAACTCCAAATCGAGGCTCAGTTTGGTGGACAGTCGCAACCACAACAAAGTTCAATAGTCACGTATCTTAAGAGGGGAGACAGGATCCGACAGGGCCCAAACAAATACACTTCGGATGCGCACAATAAAGGAAAAGGGAAAAAATGAGACATTTCATTATTTTGGACATTTATAGTAGTTTTTGTATTGAACTTTTTATGAAACTTGATTTATTTTGTTGTTAATCGAATGCCGTTTATTGTTTTGTTGTTATTAAATTCCTATTTTTTTCCCAATGTTTCATTGTTGTTGATGCTGTAAACATGTTTAGGACTGGTGAAAATCAGTCCAATTTTTTTTTTAGTTCTGACAAAGACTCGGATTTGCGAAATCCGAACCCAGACTTTTTGTAAAGGATTCGGATTTCGGAAATCCGAGTCCGTGGCCAACTGAAAGTCACCATTTTTCAGAAAACAGAGCAGATTCGGATTTCGGTAATCCGAGTTCTGCCCAAATTTAATTTTTCAACACATTATTTTTTCTCTATCCGAAAATTAATATTTTATTCATAGAAACGGATTTATAAAATCCGAATTTAGATTAATTACACTAATTTTTGTCATTAACTTAATATCGGATTTACGTAACACAAAGTCGGATTTTAATAATCCGAGTTGATTAGGGGTCGGATTTCCGAAATCCGAGTTTTGCCCCCATTCGGATTTCCTAAATCCGGGGCATATAAATTTGTCCACAAGATTTTAAAAAGCTTTAGTTTTGTCCAGGTTTTTTTTTCCATATATATTTGAGGAAAAAATTCCAACTACTACTTACTACTCTTTTAATCGAATTGTAGGGTAGTTATCCTTACGAGACTGATAGTTAATTTTTTTTAAATCGAGTTGTAAGGTAACTATCCCCACGAGTGATAGTAGGTAACGAGTTTTGAATGTTCGTCTTTGAATAAGGTTGAAAGAATACCTTATATTAGATAAGGATGTATAAGTATCTATCACTCAACCACACACCCTTTTTTGCTCTTCAAGACTTTTACCACATTAAAAAAAAAAAAAACATTGATTTCCAATCATACAATAGACTATAGAGTAGCGCGAATTGGAGTTTTAGAAGCTATAACGGCTAGCTCTGTTTCACCTTCCTTTCACGTTGCAAAGCACATATTCTTTCATAAAGGAGGACCGAATTGAGCAGAGCTCCTTGCCCATCAAGAACAGGTTTGGGCTTCTTCCAGAACTTCCCCTCACCATTCATGAGGCACTTCCATCGACCAAGAGATGGTGGCCTTCTTGGGACAAACGTACAAATTTGAACTGTTTGCAGACAGCCATTGGGAGTGCAAAGCTGCAAGATAGAATTCGCAAAGCCGTCGAAAAGTACAATGGAATACCTCCAGAAAAAGTGCAAAAGAGTGTTATTAAAGAATGCCGAAAGTGGAATTTGGTATGGGTCGGAAAAAACAAGGTTGCCCCTTTGGAGCCTGATGAATATGGAATGCTTTTGGGTTTTCCAAATAATCATACAAGGGCCGGTGGAGTGAGCAGAACAGACAGATACAAGTCACTTGTCAACTCATTCCAGGTTAGCATTTTCTCCATCTGCAAGAATATTACAGCCCCGATCTTTGTGCTTTGGTTTGGAAAACATTAAACTTTTGTGGCAAAAAACTGGCCATTCCATGTGCAATCATATCTGAGCAACCAATACAAACATTCCCTGCATATCTATTTACATCAGAATGAACCAAATTATTGATTGAGATATTTTTCTTTTTTAGTCTTTCTTCCAGCAATCACTAATTCTTTACTAGAGGCCCATCTGGACATGTAGTAATAGAACCTCTACTGGTCTGGTCTTTTCTGAGAAGTACCTCACATTTCTTTCTTCCCTAACATGGTAGAGGATAGCAAAGAGAGAAGCATTCAACACTGGCTTCTCAAGTTTTTTCTGTAGCCATATGTGATAAATCTTCTTAGTCCATTTCCTGAAGTCAGGCTGCAGTTAACCACTCCCCAGCCAAGTTCTCACTTTGTCCAGCTACTCAGTTGACTTTTTACACCCAAAAAACATGTATTCTCAAAATTCAGTTTCCACCTAAAAATCATTTTGAGGAGGTTGATACTATAATGGAAGCTGAACACTTGATGAAGGAAGTTTTTGAGAAAGGACAAGCTAAACAAGAAAGAGATATGACAATCTTTTGTACCCAAGTTTCCATTAGCATCAACCTTAAAAAAACTTTTGAATTTTTTTCCTGGTGATTTACTGGTGCCGGGGATTATTCATTCATGTATGAACTGTATGTGGAAAGGACCTGATCATTGTGTAGTTTTAGAGGTGACATTTCTCTGCCTAAGTTATTGGAATAAAGCCTCTAAGACTGACAAAAGGTATTGGTTCAGTCTCTCTTTTCCACTGTAATCTTACCAAACTCCTCTCACAGCAGGTGGCTTAAAGAAGGACTAAAAAGCCTTTATGCCAAATCAATATTCTACCCTTTATAACCAAAGTGGTTGTGGTGGAGTGGAAAGGACTCATTCACCCTTAATCATAGGTCGAGGCTTCGAATCTCGCCATGGACATGAAGTAATCTTAAATACTTTGTCCAAGTGTCCCACCCATTGAGTTGCTTACAATTCAGCGAGGAGATTAGTCACGACAGTAGACACTCTGCAAATATGGGGAAGAAAAAATAAAAATTTCTACCCTTTATCTTCAGAAATATTGCTTCCTGAATTGCATTAGTTTTGTACCAAATGTTGCTTTCCTTGATCATTCGGTAGGTCAAGTTTTTCTTTCACAAAGCAAAATCAAGGAGAAAGAGAGACAGCTCTAACCTCTTTACTAAAATGGATTAAATTAATACTCTCCCCATTCCAAAAATTAGCGAAATATTTATTGAGCTATAATTGTGATTAGTTTCGATGGGTTATTGTGTCTATTTAATCCATCACTTTGGTCTATTGTATTTTGATGCTGTAGATGTTTTGCTTACTTTTACTGTAAAAGAAAAAAAATGATAAACCTGACTTATTTTTTTAGACAAAGAGTAAAAAATAGTCACTAAGTCGCGTACTTAAAACAATCAAGATGAGAAGTCTAAAATAGTGATAAAAGATAAATGGAGTTTAGAATGAAGTGAAATAAAATGTGACCCTGTCATATATTTTACTAAAAAATTGTTATTATCATCTTAAAGTGATTGCTTTGTTTTAAAAAAATGTGACCCTGTCATATATTTTACTGAAAAATTGTTATTATCATCTTAAAGTGATTGTTTTGTTTTAAATAAAATGTGACCTGCACCATTACCACTGCACCATTAGTTAGTAGAGATTTGCAGGCTTTGATGATTTGAACAGAACATGAGATTTCTATTCGATTTCATTATTTGGAAGTATATAAATAGGCTTGGATTGGATTCGGGGCGCAATATAGTAATTGAAAAATATTTGGAGATTTCTGTGAAATGTAAGAGAATGGTAATCATTTTTTTTTTTTGTTTTTTTTACACACACACATCTTATAAACCCAAAAAGTGTTTTTTTTTTTCAAAAATAATTATTTTTATAAAGACTTTGTTTTTGTGATGATAATTTCAATTTAAAGATTTTTCGTTTATTTCGAAATGATTACTCGATTTAATATTTCATGTAAAATAAAAAATTTTTAGTTAACACGGAGAGAATAACTATCACCATATATATGTTTTGGTAATCCTTCATATTTCTCTATAGATTCAAGCCGCTGCTGTGATTTCTTTCAGAATGGCCAAGTTTTCAAATGGATAAAAAAAAAATAAAAATCAAAGGCCACTTTTTTTTTTTTTTTTGTGTATTATTGAAACGAAAAGAGTAGAGACGAAAGACACATGCATGCTATAGTCTCTCCAAACGCAAAAGAATAGTTTCAAGCGTGCTGTTGAGACGTCCTCCTTGTAGAAATACTGTAATCTCTTCTCTATTAAAGAAGATTTATTATTGTTTTTCGCATTTAAATACCGAAATCATAATTTTGCAAATTGACTTTGGTTACTAAAATCCACCATTTATTTTAGGAGCCTGATTAATTAAAGGGGAGTAGTAATAATGTTTGGATTTCTTGAAGTAAACTAAGAAACAATGGAGTAGATTTGGTTAATTAGATTTAGATTACGTATTAATAATATATATACTTTTACTTAAAATCATGTCACAAGATAATGTAACACCTACAATATCATAATGGTAAATTCTCTATTTTTTTAATCTGTCTCCTGTAAAAGAAAAGTTACTGTGGACAGGAAAGGAGTTAAACCGAACGATGAGGCCTTCAAACTTCAAAGCTTTGTTCCTTTGGCAGAAAATTGGCGACCCGAAAATTGCTCCGTCGACCACCACCCATAGCTTGACCCGTTTGTGATACAGGAGTTGCTCCACTTATCCATCATCACCCGACTGCCATTTTCCCTTTCTGAGGTTTGATTTTGAATTTTATGACGCAGTTTTTGTTTCTGATATAATCATCAAAATTCCGTTAATCTACTTCTTCCTCGTGGATCCCTTTTCGTTTTCGTGTTTCCTTTTTTCCTCACTTCGAATTTCATGTTAAATCCGCTATGAGCAATTGTATTTCTTACACGACTGATTTGGGAATTTCGCACACTTTGATGACAGTGTTGGCCTTTGGTCGTTGATTTTTATTATTATTTTTTTCTTCTAAAATTATTGGAGATACGAGCAACTGTTTCAATTGGTGGTTTGAGTATTAAATTTAAAAACATTCTTCTGTATTTGAGTCACAGAAATCTTTGACACTGTTTCCAGTTCAAGGGTGTAATTGTTTTGTCTATAGTCCTCAGAATGTGTTTCGAGGTTCAATAGTTGCTGTGCCCATGAGTCTTACTGTAAGCTTTGCTGTAGTCTTGATTGAAATTTTTATTGGAGAAACTGAGTTGGGCTCTGTCAAAACAACTGTAATTTTGGATGGAAAGAGCTGGTTCATGCATTTCTTGCCTTTTGTAATGCAATGTTGGGGTTTAATGTTATCTTCTTAGTATCCTTGCTACTTACTTGTATAAGTTTCAAAAGGCACGCAAAACAGGATGGGATATAGTGAAACATTCCCTTACATATTTTTGGCAAATATTGTGTTGTATTAATTTTATAAAACAAAAATGCTGTAATCCTTATCTTCTGAAAAAGGGTTCAGTTTAGAAACTTTATACGTCAATAGGCATTCAATTTTTAGTAAGTAGAGTGATGTACAAGGTGGAAACATCTAGTCTTTCAAAGAAGGTTTGAGATTGAATTGATCTTAAGTTTGAATGGGGTTTTAGTAAATGCCGGTTTGTGTTACAAAGTTAGGATCTTGGGTTTGAATACGATTCTTTGGTATAATCATGCTTTTAATTACCGCGGGGCGTACTTGTATGAGTGAGGTTGACTGTTGCTCGCACTTGACATGAGTAAAACTATTGATCTATGTAGAAGGTTGTTTATAATTTATGTCTGATGTATAGTCCAAGATAAAACTGTGTAATGCAATGTGAAGTCATTTTTCATAGTATCTGACATACATCGTTCCAATCCTGTGACACCAAGTATTTCGTGCTTGGATTCGCTATCATAGAAACATTGATGTGGTGTGATTTTTGCTTTTTATAAAATAAGAAAAAGGTCCCAGAGGAAAAAGCCTTGCGATTTATATAGTTGGTTCCAGAAATTGTAAATTATATCTATCTAATGAGGAACCTTGGTTTAACCTGATCAGAGTTGAATCCATCATGGCTGATGTTGAATCTCAGAAAGGTTTCTTCAAGAAACAGTGGGATGGCTATAAGGAGTTCTGGTGTGACAGGTTTTCTTTCTTGGAGAATTATTCCAGATTTATCAACCGTGACAAACCGCTTCCCTCTTGGTCGGAATCTGATGTTGAAGAGTTCATTGCCTCTGACCCTTTTCATGGACCTGTTGTATGTACTTTAACCTTCCTAACCTTGATTTCTTTGTGAAGGTTGCATTTGTTCAAATGGGTGGTTTTTTTTTTTTTTTTTTTTAAGTTTCTTATTTTTGCTGTACTATGCTGGTTTGGTTTGTCTGTTTTGGTTCGTTTGGTTAGTTTAATTGAGTTTATTTTTGCTTCATCTGTTATTGGCATTGGCATTTTTGTTGTTTGGCTGTCTGTATCCAGCCGATAGTATGAAGTATGTGTTTATTTTTCCTTCTTGGGTTAATACTGTTTTTCCTCTTGGTCGAGGTTTTTCATTTTTAACTTATTTCCCAAGAGCCTGCTATTATCTAGGTGTAAAGATCAGGTGGCATTGATCATGCTAGGAATGTAAGTACTGAAATATATGTCCACTAAACCTCAAGCTTGTGGAAAATCTCAAAATTTGATTCTGAATGGAATTTCCAATTCAAATTTTTAAATTGAAGATTATTAGTCTTGGTGTTATTTGAAATTATTTGTGAAGGAAGTTTATGGTTGTAGGAGATAATTTAGTAGAACTACCTCATTTAGTTGTCTTGCTGGGATTGATATTGTCTGGCAGATACAAGTTGTGTTTGCACGCATTTAAAGAAAATTTGAATGTGATTTTAATTATGGTCATGATCCCTTTGTTGTCTAATGGCCTCTAGAAGTTTTCAAATTAGCATTTCCTGGTCTCCTTTAATCTTTTATCTTTCAGCAATATTGAGATGGCTGTATTTTAATCTTTCATCCTAGGAGGATGTGTTAGTAGGCTACTTGAGTCTGAGAGATGGATAGCATGTAATATCTGACCATTTAAAAATTCAAAAGGTTTTTTTTTTTTTTTTTGTGGTTGAAGCCCTTACAGTTTTGGGCGAATACCTTAGACTTGATCGCTTTTCCTACTCTCCATTTGGATTTCATGCATTGTTGTAGTTTCTTTTTCTCAATTCACAAGAGCATTCTTTCGTTTTGGAACATTTTTTTCCTCCAATTTTTGCTGTCTAATCTTGTTCCTATTTGTCTTTCGGTTTTCAGCTTAAGACTGCTCGGCAAGCTGCAAAATACGGTGCTGTAGGCAGTCTCATGGGTGCTGTTACAACAGCAGGATGGGCATGGAAATACTCAAGAAGTCCACATGGTATATTTATTTTTTCTTTGTTATGTACAATATTGAACTTCAGTGTTACTTTGGGCCCACAGTGTCAAGACACTGTAAAGCTGTGAAAGGGTCAATGTATCTTCCAATTTTTGCTCTTGTGGACTTGATTTATAAAATGGAAAGCTTACTTGATGTTGTCTGTTGCCACCCTACTTTCGTTAGGGTTCATCCTTAGATTAGACCTTAATGTGTTATAAGAGTTTTTGATGGGAATGTGTACTGGAGGAATGTTTGATCCTTTTAAAGTTTAAAAGTTTGTTCAACATGGGCTTAAAATTGCATGTCAGTAGATTTTTTTCTTACATCTTCCACAAAATCATCTAGTTCCTAGGTCTGTTGCATTTCTGGTAATTAGTTTCCTCATATATTTGCTGCAAAAATCCGGTTTTGTATTCAAGTTTGTTTAAATAAGTTTTTGACAGGAAAAATACTGAGGATTCTGAAGCAGTTGGGGTAGAGAGAGTTCTGTTACTGGAATTATGTCAAATATACCACACACAAAAATTTTTCTTCAGTTTGTCCGCACAATAAGCTTGTAGTTCTTTTTCTGTTGTGACTGTTAATTTTTACCTTTTTCTATTGCCACGGCCAAAAATTCACCGCTGGCCCTTGTGCATTACCTTTTATTGTGTTAGTTTTGGTTAGGTTGTCAATAAGTATGATTACTGGGTGCATGTATGCTGTGTGACGTTATAATAAGGTTGTTTTTTGAACCCTGTGAAATTACTTTTGTGCATCACTTTCTTGAGGATTCAGTTCTTTTGAGGTGTTTGGCTGATACGCTGAAATATAAACTTGGTACTTCGATCTTCTTCTGTTAATGAACTCAACTGGTCCATGAGCATGGTTTTTGATCAAAGATATTTTAATAAATTTGATGTGCTTGTATCCGTGGCTTCAGAATGGTTGAGAATAACATCTGAATGAAATTAAATGCACTTACGACGAGTGTTTTGGTGGTACTGTCGACATTCTATCGTCCGATGGTATTTCTTTGTGGCCTTTATTTTTCAAATATATTTGTAGCTGCGATGTGATGAAGAATGGTTGCTTGTGTATCATCTTGTACTCCTTGTTGAATGAGCTCTTCCCTTATAATGAAGTCGTGGTTCTGGTTCTGTTATTGTCCATGTTGTCTGGTAGCACTTGTTGAATCGTGTTTCTTCAAGACCTGCGCTTCTCTCAATAAACAAGAAAACATGTTGCTGAATTTCTATCATATATTTTGTAAACTGTACTTGTAGATGGCTGGTATGATTTGAGATGGTTGTACCATCAATAGAAGTTGGCATAATTTGAGATGGGTATATCGTCAATGAACATGTTCTTAATCTTGCAAACTGCAGCACAAATGTTGATTTAAACAAGAGAAGTTTATTTACTGATTATACATGTATGGTTTGTTCGTCAGGTGCTGCTCTATCTCTAGTGGCAGGGAGTGTCTTTGGATGGACTTTCGGACATGAGATCGCAAACCACCACCTGCAGCTGTATCGGTTAGATACATTGTCTGCCCAGACCAAATTCATGGAGTGGTGGGAGAAGAAAGTTGAAGGACACTGATCGGATTTGTAAGCAGTTTAGAATGCAAATACCGCCAATAAAGATCAGCCAGAAGTTGTAATGCTTTTCTGCTACTAAACTCCCATCGCACGAGGTTTCACTTTAACGCCCCTCTGAATTGACAGTCGTGTGCCGTTGCATTGCCCTTTCTTTTGTTTTTGCATATAGTAACTGAATTAGAATTCTGATTTCCTCTGGGGAAGATTTCTGCCTACTGGTGTCTTGTTCTGTAGCTACAAATGAAGGACATCTGGTGCAAATTAGACTGACATTTGCATTCCAAATACATCTACAATTTCCCCCCCTCCTTTTTCTCTGTACGATGCATTTCACCTAAATTTTAACCGTCTTTTTGCAGAAGATGAAAGTAGTATTGTCTGGGCAATGAATCATATTACAATCAGGTCATAGAGAATGAAACTTTCCCAATCTCTCCAGAGATGATCATGATCCTCAAAGTTTCATTGTCCAATTGGCTTTTATTCTTCTTCCTCAGTCTATTGCAACAAAATCAATTTGCTCAAGTTAGGAGTTGAAACAGAACAGTAAACAAGAAGAATAAATCAAAATCCTTTTGTTTGCACATTTGTTTTCAAGGAGTATGAGATGGCGGAACTTTTTCATTCTTCCATTCTATCCCGTCAACTGCTCTGTTAAGCAGCTTGAAAACCTCAAAATTCGGCAATTTCAGGAATTGCAGAAACCATGATCCAAGTAAATCAAACTCCTCCGATCTGGATGGCAAGTTAAAGTTGACAGCAAATGCATAGCATCGCAAACAATCATATACAGTTTACTTGCAAAGTTAATCTGTACTAATTCTTTTCCTTCCAATAGTTTATCTTCAGTTTCTCCCTTTGATTCCTCAAACTCTGCATCCCCTATTTCTCTTGTATTCTTCAAACTCTCGAAGATTGCTTCCCGAACATGCTTGTTGTAAGGCTCATACAAAGCTGCGCAGTTACAGTAAAATCCGTAATAAGTTTCTATCTGGCCCGTTTCTAAGTTGTATTACCAAATTCAGATCATAACAGTGAAGTGATTTCCTCCTCATCAAGATCTCCTTGACCTATCAATGTCATTGTACTTGAGCCAAAAAACTTACGAACATCAATACAATGACTCTTGCTTTGAAAAGCTTCCGAGCCATCCGCATTCCTATGATCAATCTCTTCGATGATGGTGGCACAGAATAAAACAGGAATAACGCGGGATTGTGGAATGGCAATAATCTTGGCAGCTAGTTTTGGAGATCTTACCCAGCCTCCTACCATCATCAGAATCAACCCTGATAAAGCTGAACTTGGGATTGATTTGCACAGCAAACCCATCATCTCCCATCTGGACTCCCGAATTGGCTAAGAAAATGAAGGAAATTTGGAATTTGGCAACATCTCCTCTTGAATATTAAAGCCTTGGATCAAGACCCTTAAGACCTTATTTAAACAACTCATATCTGAACTCACAAGGAAGAAGAACACTCTGCCAAAACCTAGAAGTGTGGAACACCAGCTGTATGTTTTCAATCTCGAATATATGTTGCTGAACAAGTGAATGGCTGACCAAATACTATTAAGTTTTTTCATTGTTTTAAGGGTTAGCTTTGTTTGTTAGGGCAAGAAAGATGACAACGAGCCTAATAGATTTTCTTACTTGGTCTTTATTCCAATGGGCCTTGGACTACAAAAGTGATGCGGTCTGCTAAAATGCGACAGATAACTAACCGAATAACGTCTAAAATATTGTATGTTCATTTTGTCATTGTTGATTCATATACATTTTGAATGTATTTTTTTTAAGAATGTTTGACACAAATATGTATTCCTTTGGACACACAAATAATAATAATAATAATAATAATAATAATAATAATAATAATAATAATGATGATGATGATGATGATAATAATAATAATAATAAATATTTTAATCTATGAATGTTACCATTATTGTATCTCAAGAATTGAGTTATGAGATCGTTTTGGAGTTGAAATCTCGCTTAGGAAATGAGATAGCAAGGAAATTGTGGTAAATTTTAAAAAACAAAAGCTGGAGTATAGACTATAGAGATGATCCATCACATATATGTTGTATGCATCCTCCTTGAGCCAGACCATTATCATTAGAGAGTGCAAGTTGCCTTAAGGAATGTACAAACAGTGCTACTATAACATACATTTATCGAAATATGGATTTCGCAGCAGCTGGTTGGATTTTTGGAGAAGATGGAAAAAGAGTAAACATGCTACTATATTATTAATTGTAATGCTAACTATTTACACAAACAAAAGTATGAAAGTCAATGCAGTGGCTCCTGCTTTGAAAATCTTCCAAGCCATCGGAATTCGCAAGATTCATATATAATATCTTGGGTGATGGCGACACAAAATTAAATCGGCAATAACATGGGATTGTACAACAAGCTTAATTCTGAACTTGTTGACTGATATGGGAAGCTAACATATCTCCAATCTGGAACAGCTCATACGGCCTCCCGATTGGCTAAGAAAATGAAATAATTCTGCAATTTTGGTAACACAAATCCCTGTTTCTCCTCTTGAATTTAAAGCCTCGGATCAAGAACCCTTATGACCATATATTTTTTCAGATCAAGAATTACAAATACTCCTACATATCTACAACTCAGAAGTCAGAAGAACACTCTGCTAAACGCTGGAAGTAAGGAATACGATATGTTTCTCATCTCGAATTCAAGCTGAAAGAGTGAAGACGATATTTTTTCAGACAATAAATAAAGGTATTTTTATAGTTTAACTACATTAATTAATGTATTCTTGGTTTTGATGATTTCTCTAGAAAGACATATAAAAAGAAAATGGAGGGAGTACTAGTTTTAATTGTCGAAAACTCGAAATCATGTGAACTTTACAACAGTCGTTAAGTGATCTAATATAATTTTTTTTAATGAATATTTCGTATTTTTCAATCATGACAATCGAGGGAGAGCATTTTGGCCATTGAGAAAACATCCAAACCGCATTCCTTTTCAGTCAACAAAAGAGTTTCATAAGTTTGGAGAGTTGGTGTTTTGATGATGACATATCTTTCGTCACGCCAAGACTGATTGATACCGGTGGCTGAACAGTCTCAATCGTCTCTTCATGTTATTGTGTCCCAATTTTAACACTTCGATTGAGAAGTTTAGGAGGGCAAAAAAAAAAGATAAACCACCTGATGACACATTCCCAATATTATTAGGGAGAACTAGAAGAGGAAGGAAAATTTTTGTACTCATATGTACCGAAGTCTCTTTGACTTGGCGAATTCTTTTGGTCGTAAGTTAAAAATGCATAATTAATTGCATGAATACATGAAGGAGGGCGAGATGTGCACTGATCTGTGGCGGAGTTCAGATCTTGACAAACTGTCAAAGAAAGCACCAAATGATACTACCAAATGATATACTGACTTAATTACTTCAAGAATACAGTAGCCAAGAAAAAAAAAAGGAATAAATTTCTTTCTTGTTGGCTGTTAAATGAACATTTGAAAATCAAGAGTCTTTGTCACTTTTTTCGCTCAACCAACTTTTCTAAACATGTAAGAATGGTTTTCTCCCGATTATTACTACATCTTCTATATTTTTATGAAATTAATAACAAACCAAAGTCGGAGTCTCCGGCATGTTTTATCGTTCTTCTTCGGTATATTTGGCATTTATCTGGGCTTTTCTTCAAACAAGCTCGGGCATATATTTCATCTTTCCAAATCAGAATTCTGACATATTGAATCGACTGGGCAAAACCGTATTACACATGTGGCATACCTCTTGCAGCCCATATGTTGTGTAAGTTGTATTACCAAATCCAGATCGATAGACTATAGCCAACTGCAACGAGCTGAGAACTTCTTCTTCTTAATCCAATCACTCTTGCTTTGAAAAAGTTTCCAAGCCATCCGAATTCGTAACATTCATATCTCCAACCGCGACAAAGTTGAACCCTTGACTGATCCGGAAAGCTAACACACATCTCCCTAGTCTGGATTATAGTATTATTATGGCCTCTTGGAATTTGCTACGAAAACAGAAAATTTATACAAATGAATCTGAACTTTTGGGATCCGTGAAAACTGATAATGCTTCCTCTTAAATTGAAGGCCTAAGATAAAAACCTTTAAACGCACCAAATTTCAGATCAAAGCCTACAAACTCATATCTACACTCAGAAGAACACTCCAATGAAGCAGTCCTTTTTCTCTTTTCTTTCGCATTCAAATGCAGCTGAAAGAACTGAAAATGTTTTACAAATATCTGGTCCGGCAATAGGTGCCAAATGGATTTTCATTTATTGATTTCATAGGTGTTAGTTTGTTACTTATTAGGGCAATGACGACATTGGATTTCAAAGTTTCAATCCAAAACGAATCTTGGACTTGATGTTGTCTGCAAAACTGTACCACTGGACGAAGTTCGAAATATTTAAGTTTTGGTAATTTTTTTTCTTTCCATTAATTCTTTTTCATACATATTCTAAATGTATACAAAAAATGGTTCATTTCAACTTCGGAAGGGTGTTGTGTTAAACGTGGACATTTAAATATGATGGTCCATGATATATGTCCTCGTTGCGCCGAAGTATTCTCATAGGGGTGCTGGAATTGTTTTAAACTTGTGATATGCAAGTGTGTGTGCTACATTTATCGAAATGAATTTTTTGGTTAATTGCTCAACGAGATTAGTAGCGAAGCAGCTTTTGATAGTTACATCCACGGTTACAAGTTGCAACATGATATAATTGAACCTTTCTTGTTTAGATTTTTGGCAGTTCCTTCCTTTGTACCTTAGAAGAAAAAAAGAAACATTGTAAATTTATTCTTTCGAAAATAATTTTATTTTTTATTAAAAAATAATTTAATTAATTAATTTTTTCTAAGAGAATAACTCCTTAGCAGTTGCATCATCATAGGCATAAAAAAAAATTGATGATTAACAATAATGCCGCTCCGGACTTGATGGGACGTTTCTGTTATCAATTGTTGCCCTCTCTTTAATTTGCCCATTGTAGTTGATTTGATTTCTGATTTAGTTTTATGGGACATTTCAGTTTTCTGGTTGCAAATTGGAATCCCGATGTTCATTGATGTGTCTTTTGCTATGTTTGGCGCAATCCATCCATCCTCAACTGGAGGTGTTTGGAATTTGGACAAAGATGAAAAGCGTAAAAGGAATTGAATTAATGTTACAATGATACTCTTTCCATTCCAAAATAGATGTCGTTGGAAGAAAATTTATTTTTTTCAAAATATATGTCGTTTTTGCATTTCGAGGCATGTTTTGTCAATTTCTTCCAACATTACCCCTACATGGGAAATTGTAATTGTGTTTAAAGTAGAAGTATATTAGAACTAAATAATATTGGAAATAGGATTCAATTGAAAGTATATGAGGGTAGATTAGTATTTTAACTAAATATTTATTGTGTTCTTAAACTTTGTGCAACTCCCCCAACGATATCTATTTTGGAATGGAGGGAGTACTACATATGCATTGTTTTTCACTTCTCCAAGGAACCTGATCCTTGTTTTCATCAATTTCATATTACTTAGCTCTGTTTGATAAACCAATTCAGCACTTAAACTTAATTAATTAAGTACTTAATTGATTGACACTGTTTGATAACACAATTTTATTATAACTTAATTGATTAAGAACTTAACTAATTAAGGACTTAAATTTTAAGTGCGTTTGATGACTCAAATTAGGATGTCTTAATAAATTAAGTCAGTTTGAAATGCTAGTACAAATGTGGGTCTAAAAATAAGTGATAAGCCTATCACTTATGTCTGAACTGAATTCCTGAGATAATTATTTTTTCTATTTATTTACTTTTATGTTTATACTTTTGATGTTTTATCATGAAATATTTTTATTAATCTTGGTGTTTAGTTATAAATTGAAATTTATTTATTATTTTTATTTAAAATATTTACTTTAATATAAAAATAAAATACAAATAAAGTCCATTATAAATATATATTTATCATAAAGATGTGATATAATTTGACAATGATAAAGATGTAATATTATTATTGACTGAAAAAATAATTACATAATAAAATTTAAATATTCTTATTACATAATTTTATAATAATATTATTATCTTTATAATCATGTTTCATTTATATATATCAATTATTTTTTAAGATAAAATTATAAGTTGAGATACTTTAATTTCAGTGTTCAGACTTCATATTTTAGACATTTCAGACATTTTATTCAGTCTTCAGATTTTGATTTTTATCAAACAAAACAAACTTAATCAATTCAGTACTTATGATTCAGTCTTTCAGATTTCAGACCCAAATTAAGTTTTATCAAACGGGCCTTAGTCAAATGTGACAACAATGACAACTTTGACGAGTTTTGGAGTAAAAAATGAATCTGAACTATTCAGATTACCATCATGTACTTACTAGATATTGAGATCAAGTATCTCAAGTATCAGGGATGAAATCAATAATAGACAACTCTCTGCTTTCGAGAAGCCCTCAACTTTCTTTCACCCAATGGAAATTTCTTCTATCCCCGTTGGCTACAAAAAAACATCCAAAAGTTCTCCTAAACTGTATCATTTGGAGTCGTCCATAAAGTTTGAGAGCTTGAGAATTTGGCAAATGACAGTTTCCAACCTTGAGAGTCTGCGTGGTGGGGTGGCTCATCTCCAAGGATTTTCACGTTAGATAGCAAGTGACACCAGACACAT